TTATTTGAGAGAGAGAGAGAATGAGAGACAGAGAGCATGAGAGGGAGGAGGGTCAGAGGGAGAAGCAGACTCCCTGCTGAGCAGGGAGCCCGATGTGGGACTCAATCCTGGGACTCCAGGATCATGACCTGAGCCGAAGGCAGTCGCTTAACCAACTGAGCCACCCAGGTGCCCTATACTGTTGTTTTAAAATGGTATGGGGTGAGAGCAGCGCTAAATGCCAGGGTTCAAGCAATCACCTTTTGGCCCTGAAGATTTAAAATCACTAGTCCTCTCTCACTATCAGAAACTGATTCTTAAAGTGAACATGGATTCTTTGTTTCTCAAATAGTTGTTGGAAAGGTAGAAAATGACATTCTCTATCTTTTGCTTAAAAACTTTGTGTTAGCAGACAGGTAAAATCTTCTGGATTTTGGAGCTAATTAAACATGAATCAACAATGTATTTAAGAACATTCAATAATATCTAGCCTTTCATGGATCTTACTCTGCTAGTCAAGGTACTTTGCTCATAGAGCCTGATAAAGTGTCCAAACTACATTGGACAAACACACACACACACACACACACACACACACACACACACACACACTCAGTTTTACTTTGCTTGCAACCATATATATGATACCTGGCAAGTAAAACAAGTTATTTGATTTGAAATGGAACAGCAAATAGAATTTTTATTGCAAAGTTGGCAAAAAACTCGAGCCATTCTTTTCTAAATACGCTTACGACTTAAGGGGAAAATGACAGATTTGTTGTGCTTGTCATAAAGACTGCTTTATGATTTTATAAAAAAAAAAAAAAAAAGCAAGCCTTTGTTCCTGAAAACAATTCAGTCACACTAAAAAGGAAAGCCAACAAATTAACTCCACTCATAAAATGCTGTCTTTCGCTTTTCTGATAAAGGATGTGGGAAGGGTCATCAATCATGTAGAGGCAGTGATGAGAGCTGATGTGACAGCAAGCCCAGGTTAAGTCAGACAGAATGGGTTTGAATCCCGTGTAGCCTTTATGAGCTCTGGGTCCTGGGCAGGTTACCCAGCTGAGCCTTTCTTTTCTTTTTCTTTCTGTCTTTCTTTTTTTAAAGATTTTTTTATTTATCTGACAGAGACAAAGCAAGAGAAGGAACACAAGCAGGGGGAGTGGGAGAAGGAGAAGCAGACTCTCCCGCTGAGCAGGGAACCCGATGCGGGGCTCGATCCCAAGACCCTGGGATCATGACCTGAGCCAAAGGCAGACGCTTCACGACTGAGCCACCCGGGCACCTCGCTTTCTTTTCTATAAAATGGGCATAGATGCCACGGGGTTGCTTTAAGGATTAACTGAAACACACATATAAACTGCTTATTGTCATGCCTGGTACAAAGTAGATACAAATCCTTGTAGTAAAACTGCAAAAGAAAACAATATCAAAACGACTCTGACGGCAACTGTGCATGACAGAGGCAACCAGCGTTCTCCGACTTGAGAGGTAGGTGGGCTGTGTGGCTGGGTATGCACTCTGGTTTCTGATTGGCTGACGTCTCAGAGCTTCAGGAGGCTGTTTCACTTTATTTGCTATAATAAATTGCTCCACATTATAGCAATAACATCAATAAAAGTCATGCCTGATGCTAATGTGCTATGAATGTCTCATCAGGAACTTCAGAAAATTAGTCTAAAACTGCTCACCACATCCAAAATCAGAGAGACTCATTTCTCAGTCAATTAGGTCTGAAGAGTGAGTGAGGCTTCAGCCAAGTGTGAAAGGCTCTGGTGGAACGTTTCCCCAGATGAAGGCCTGCTTCTTACTACTTAGGTTCTCACAAGGTGAGGGAGACGGAAGAGGACTTTGTATAAAGATAGTGAGAAACACCAGTAAACCCCTGCATGGCCTCAGTTTCACTAACAGTACCTGTGTGTTTGGTTTCCTACCGAAGTGCTATAATTGCAGTTGGCGTGAAATTTTGTGGGGGTAGAGCTTGGATTAAGCTATTTCATGAAGCTCTATATGTAAAATAAATAGCAATCATCATAATAACTAACACTTGTTAGGGTGCATAATTGGTTGTAGGCATTTACATATACTAGCTCATTTAATCTTCTCAAAATTGCTACAAGGAAGGGAACAAGTGTGCTGTTTTATAGACAAGGAAATGGCACAGAGAGGTCAAGAGAGTGGAGGAGTGGAGTATGTGGGCTCTGAGGCCTTGCTCTTAATCATTTTCCAAGTTAGTGCTTCTTTAGTTCACCCAAGGACCTTTGTATAAACATCTGTATTCATCATCTCCTTCAAAGGCTCATTTTCTGGAGTGCACAGTGGGTAGCAGAAGATTGTTAGCAGAAGATTGTTTCTGCTAGACTCCTTATACATTCACTCCGCAGAGCCAGGGATTAAATAAACACCTTGTATATGCCAGGAAACGTGCTAGGCCTCAGGAGTTTATTACTTCATAACAATAAAAAGGGATTCTGGCCTTTTTTTTTTTTTTTAAAGTAAATTCTGTTTTCTCAATTGGGAATATATGAGTATTTCCCATGAGGAGACACAAATTTGGTATGGGGATGATAAGTTGTATAAAGGGAGCTGTAGCTCTAGATGGGCTGACAAGCAGGCTTGACAAGCTCACGTATCATTCCTCCATCCAGGAACGGCATATAACACTTCTAGCTTCCACCAATAGCTTTAGCTTACGCTGGCTAGGAGTCAGGCCACTCTTGTGGGGGTCTGGGGGAAGTTTCCATTGTTGGTATTAAATGTACTACTTAGTTCCTACATAAAACCATCATAAAGCATAATTTTAAATGATTCTTCATAGGAATAAAATATGTTGTAGCTGTGTATACATGAGTACACTTCAGACAAATTGAGCATCTAAATATTGACTTTAAAAGAGGAATATATCACAGGCTTAGTTTTTAAATGGATACTTTGCTTTATAGTTATATTCTTATGTATATCAATTTTTTTCCTTCAATTGAAGGATAGTGGACACAGTGTTACATTGGTTTCAGGTGTACAACACAGCCACCCGACAGGTCTCCATGCTATGCTGTGCTCCCCACAAGTGCATCTACCACCGGTCACCACAGAACACTATCACCACACCACCGACTCCATTCTCTACGCTGCCCCTTTTATTCCTGTGACTTCTTCACTCCGTAACTGAAGCTGTATCTCTCCCTCCCCTTCACCCATTTTGTCCATCTCCCTACTCTCCTCCCCTTACATATATCAATTTTTAAGAATAAATCTATTGTATAAAAAACATAAAGACCACTTTCCCACTTAAAATGTGGACGTAAAATGACTACATGACAGTAGGCTTCGGAGCTGTGGGGGGGTCTTCAGCAGACGCACTAGAAATAAGTATCTCTAAGGACAGGAAGGGTGTTTTCCCCAAAAACTTAGCAAAGGCTCTAGGCATGCTAGGCACTCAGAATGTATTTATTTCATGCAGGCCAAGGGAAGAAAGAATGGAGTGGAAGGCAGGGCCCCTGTGTGTAGCCGGAAGGTTATACACTCCTCCAAGAGAGACCGCTTTCGCAGCCAATTCTGATGGAATAAATCAATGGAATGGAATAAACAAAATAAATGAGAGCAGCCTTAACGTTACATGGGGGTTGCAGCAGCCACCCTGAGCCCCAGATATTTTTAGAAGAGTAAGTTCTGATGAGTTCTCCCTTAACTTCAGTAATCACCGCTGTTGACAGAATAATAGCATACTTTCTTTGTCTCATAATGAACAAACTGAGAGGGCTCAGCGATCCAATTAAAGGCATAGATGACTTCAGTAGTACCCGGAATCGGTCTAGAGTCTCCAAAGTCCCATTTCAGCTTTGCACTTATCAGAGAGAGACGTGGAGACACATCAGTCCTACTTTTCTCTCAGTAGGGGCCACACTGGGGCTCAGGACGCGGGTGCAAGCACTCTCCGGTGTATACAGCTTCTTGTTCTTCACAGTGATCCTGTAGTGTAGTTCCACTATTTTTAGTGCTGCGCTAGATCTGTCTGAGGGGTTGGTTATACCTAAAATTTCATTTTCAGGGTTGCATTTACACTGTCAAAGTTGAAGCGGACGGCCCCCATTTCATACTGCCCAGTTGAGAACTATTTTTGCCTTAACCGCTGACATAACTGCAATCCAACAGAGTGTAGTGAGGCACTTCATGTGACCTCATCGCTCCTTCTTGAAGCGACCACTCCTTGGCCACAAACATTGCCTGTTCGGTCTTTATGCATTAATCATTAGCTTCATTCTCTTGGGGGCATTTGTGGATGAGCCTAGTTTATGGATATTAAAAGCATAAAAACGTCAATTCACATTCTATAAATGGGGGCTGAAATTTTCAAAGCTGTTTTACCAAAGCAGTTATAAATCTAGAGCCTGAGGAAAGGAGGGAATTTAACACATTTATATATTCTGCTTTTCTTTTTGGTTTGGTTACCCAGACATCTTGGACCATGCAGGAATTCTGAAAGTTACTGAATTAAGAGACATTATTTTAGTCTTGCAAAATGGCTTACAGATGCATAGTGGACAGATAGGAGTATAGTCTTAAAAGGAAATAAATGAGATTTTTGTTAGTTAAACAGGTTATATTGTGAAAACTTAATCCACAGTATACTAAAATGTAGAGAACCTATTTGCATTTCTATGCTCGTCTAATTATTCATGGTGGGGGTGAGACACATTCATTGAGTACTTATTACGTGCCTGGGACTATACTAGGTATAATAAATATGTTCTTTTATTTAATACTTCAAATAATCCTATATTTTATAGATATCCTTATTTCCATTTTACAGATGAAGAAACCTAAGATCGCAGAGAGTTTAAGTAACTTGCCCCATTCACATAGCTAGTTAAGGGCTGGAGGTGGGACTGGCTCCACCTATTTGTAACATGACATAGAAACTTGGCAATGACACTTAAGAAGCTTTTGTCACAACTGTAAGCAATTTCCTAATATCTTTTTAAAAATTCTACATTAAAAAAAAAGTCACTTTTACTTACAACTTATGGTTATTCCAAGTTCCACACTGTGCTTCTTAGGGAGCTTCACGTGAAATGTCCCACTACTTGGGATGACAGACTCTGGAATTTCAAAACAAAGAAGAGGATGTTTGTAGGGCACCAGGAAGCATGGAGCACCAGTCCATGAAAATGCATCAGGAATTCTTGTATCATAAGCATCTGAAGTTAAAGTTGAAGGAACTGAAGGAAGGCGAATGCCTGTAAAATCCTGATAAATTATGCTGCTGGGGAAGAACAGACGTCCTGTCCAAAGGCAGCTGTGTGTCATTCACAGCAACACCTGAGTTCAGTATTACTGAGGTGTCATTTGGGCAACTTTTGAGCCAAATTCACCTGGAATGCAAGTTACAAATACAGATTCCATTCATTCATTCATTCATTCATTCGTCAGAGAGACAGAGAGCACAAGCAGGGGGGAGTGGCACGTAGAGAGAGAAGCAGGCTCCCCACTGAGCAAGAGCCCAATGTCGGATTCGATCCCAGAACCCTGAGATCATGACCTGAGCCGAAAGCAGCCGTTTAACCAACTGAGCCACCCAGGCGTCCCACAAATACAGATTCCTGAATCATCCCAGATCTACTGAATCAGAATTCCTGAAGATAAAGCCTAGAAATCTGCATTTTAAGCATGTTCTCCAGGTGATTCTTCGGCATACCAAAATTTAAGAACCATAGGTCTGGTTATTTTCTTTGTTTCTCTTCAACCACGTTTCCCCAGAGTTACCTATTCAGCAATACTTTTTCTTCAACCGTTGTTTGAAGGTAGCTGGAGAATAGGTTTTAGGAGAAATTTCAGTTAGACGTGATGGTTGTTGATTTGGGGGGCAGGGAGGTGCCTTAATTTGTAATATAAAGAGGGAAAGTATACTTCAAGAGGGAGAAACAAGAGTGATCCTCAGAATATTTCTCAACCAGAATGGTATTGGCCATGACCAGTCAGACTGGATGCTGCCTGTGGGGTTGGAACACAGGACCCTGGGAGGCCCCAACTGCACCAAGGATTGCCCTTTACTTTCTGGATCATGGGGAACTCCAGGAGGTCCCCGGGGGGGAGTAGGAGGGCAGGGGGCACTGGAACAGGGTGAAGGTGGGCTCAGACAGTGGCCAACCAGTACAGAGGTAACTAACATTGTTGTAACGGAAAGAGAACCAGCGTGCACTGGTTGAATCTCAACCATGGACAGAACTAAGTTGATTTTACCAGGGCTTGACTAGTATTTGAGAAAAGAAAGAACTGCTACAAATTCTTAAATATACTCTTCTTAAAATTCCTTTAACAGTCTGGGAAACCTTCAATTAGAGATAAGTTTAAAAAGAAAATACCCTCTGAAGAGATAACATCTATTCACACTAAGCTGCTAATGACTGTAATCCTTTCTTTCTTTCTTTCTTTCTTTTTTTAATTTTTATTTATTTGACAGAGAGAGACACAGCAAGAGAGGGAACACAAGCAGGGGGAGTGGGAGAGGGAGAAGCAGGCTTCCCCTCTTGGAGCGGGGAGCCCGATACGGGGCTCGATCCCAGGACCCTGGGATCATGACCTGAGCCACCCAGGCACCCCAACTGTAATCCTTTCTTGAAGGTTTTGGAAAGGGGTGGAAGGGGCGCTTGAACGGAATCATTAGCATAAGGGGAGGTTTGTGGGATGGCGGAGCTAAACTATTTTTACTGCTTGATTTTGCTCAATGCTAGCTCCCTGACCCCCACACAAGGAATTAACTACAACTATGTGGCCCCTGGTTCAATTTGTTAATCACATATTTAACACATTTCCCATCTCTGCAAAGCACAGGGGAAGGTTGGGACTGCCTCATGGAAACAGAGCTAGAGTACTCCTTTCTTCTGCCTTAACTTGCTCTTCCAGGCCCTTTACACTTTCCCAGGAGAAATATAGGCAGTAAACCTTTTACAAGACCAGAATCTCATCTTCCAACTCAGGAAATTTGCCAGAGACTGTTAAACTGGGAAACAAACTAAAAATTTGATTCCTCTGGGCCCTCTGGGCTTTTAGAATGCCGCCTGTAAAAAAGCATCCCCAAGCTGCCCCTCGCAGTCCCAGCTGTTGTGCCAAGTAAAGGCAAGTCTTCTCTTTTGGGCCTTTTCTTTCCTTCCAGTGCTTTGCACACTTCCCAAGAAAGCTAGGGAGGTTGCTGCTTTTCCTAGCCCCTCCCACTTGTCTTTCTTTCTTTTATTTTTTTAAGTTTTTATTTAAGTTCCAGTTAGTTAACATACAGCATAATATTAGTTTCAGGTGTACAGTTTAATGATTCAGCACTTCCATACAACACGCGGTGCTCATCACAAGTGCCCCCCTTAAGCCCCCTTCCCTACTTCCCCCCTCCCCCTCCCCACTCTGGTAACCATCAGTTTGTTCTCTATAGTGAAGAGTCTGTTTCTTGGTTTATCTCTCTCTCTCTCTCTCTCGTTTTTCCTCCTTTGTTCATTTGTTTTGTTTCTTAAATTCCACATATGAGTGAGAGCATATGGTATTTGTCTCTCTCTGACTGACTTACTTCGCTCAGCACTCTCCCACTCTTCTTAAACCTTCCATGAGTATCACAGACTGTGTGAGTGAATGCCTTTGGCTTCGCTGTTGTCCTCAGCTAACACTCTGATATACTGGAAAGGACCCATATAGATTTGTTTGTTTATTCATTAAGAATTTATACCCTTGGGCGCTTGGGTGGCTCAGTCGGTTAAGCGTCTGCCTTTGGCTCAGGTCACGATCCCAGGGTCCTGGGATCAAGTCCCACATTGGGCTCTTTGCTCAGCAGGGAGCCTGCATCTCCCTCTGCCCCTCCCCCCACCCTTGTGCTCGCCTCTCTCTCTCTCTCTCTCAAGAATAAATAAATAAAATCTTTAAAAAAAAAGGAATTTATACTCTTCCCATTTCCCAATAGGACTTGAGATAGATAAAATTATTTCCCCTAACAGAGTTCAAAAAGACTGGCTAGTTTTCCTACATTGGGTTAGAAAAAGGAATGAGGTAAGTCACAACATGTAGGTGTGCTTTATTTCCTCGCTTTGGAGGCTGCAGGTATCATACATATTTACTTCCAAGATATTCCTCAAATCTGGGCCTTCCCTCCATTTCCTCCCTAAGTCCTCTGTGTGCCCCCTTCTAATAATGGAAGGCTAATTGTCACCTTCTTCCCACCCCTAATGTGACAGTTTACGAATGTGGAATTAGCAAGCAGACTGGGGGTAGAGAGGGCATTTGAAGTGGCCCCATTTTGCTCCTGGGCACCAACGGCCAGTCTGCAGAGAGAAGGGAGAAACAAACAGCAGGACAAGAGGAGCGTGCATGAGTTCTTGGAGAGTGCCTGTGCTCGGCCTTGACAGCCCTCATGTCTGGTTCTAGGCCTTCCTGGGGCTGCCTGCATATCCTGTCTTCTCGGGCTGTGAAACTCCTACGTGCTTCCAGTAAATGCCCCTTCTCTGTCTGAATTAGCTCGGTGCGTGTCTATTGCTTGCAACTGAAAAATGATCTCTGATGAACACATTGGTCTAGCAGAGGAAACGGGATGGGAGCTAAGCAGAAAGCCTCCACAGAAGTGTTCATGGGTGTGGTAGGAATTTGATTACAAGCACACAAGTGGTTCATCAGTAAATGCATAAGAAGCTTTAGAGGCACAAACAGCTTCGCTCGTTATGGAACTCATTTCATGTATGTTTGTTTTAGTGTTATGCGTTTCTTACCAAAATTCTCTGTGAAAGGGGAGGGGAGAATGTGGCATGCTCGTATGTGTGTATATGCGTATTCATGTAGGTATGTAACAGCTTGTCCACGATGCTATACAAATAAGATCTTGAAACCCCAAGGGCCAGGAATCATTGATCTAGAGTTAGTTACCATAGCAACATTTTGCTTTTATAAATTTTTAATGAGGGAACCTTGACCAAGATTCACATGGTTAATGACATTGGAGGAGATATATTCACTTCCTGGAAAACAGTAATGAATCATGTTTGACTACATAAGATTTGAAATATTCATAATGATGAACAAATATCAACAAATGAATCTCTTTGATCAGCTGTGGCTTCAATTTAATCTTTAAATGCCAACATGATTTATTTTATATTTGGTAATTTTTTTTTGCCTACACAGTTGTTTGGTGGTTAAAGCAAAGGCATATTTAATTTGGTGTTTCTTATAGAAATATTGGTAAAGAGGAAAAAAAGATATTTGGAGAAACAACAGGTTTAGAATAAGTAAATAGAATGTTTATTTTGTTAGACTCCCATGTGATTATTTTGTGCTTCCCTCATTTTGTTTTATTTTTGTCAATACTATAATTAAAAACATATTTGGGTAAACAAAGGCTTCCTTCTTTCCAATTGGCCTGTTTTTTCTGCCTGAAGCATTCATTGTTGGCACAGTAAAATAATCACCACATCATAATTCATTATGGACATCCTTGTGAGATTCGAAAAATTAAGAGATTCTAAGGAGGGGGTGGTAAATGCTTAACTCCCCCCCACTCAGAGGAAAGCACTGGGGGCTCTAGGAATGATGACAAACATCATTTGATAGGATTTTCACTGGGACTTCTTTCCAGAACAAAGCTGTATCTTTTCCAACAAAATAACTTCCGAGTTAAAGCAGAATCTTCAAGTATTTACAATTTTTTTAGACTGGTATTTAAAAGATAGTATTGAAAAAGGAAAAATGTAAATTGTGTATATATTATGAATATAGCTTTTTTTTTAAAGATTTTATTTATTTATTTGACAGAGAGAGACACAGCGAGAGAGGGAACACAAGCAGGGGGGAGTGGGAGAGGGAGAAGCAGGCTTCCCACCGAGCAGGGAGCCCATGCATGCGGGGCTCGATCCCAGGACCCTGGGATCA